TGGCTTTGGTTGTCAGGGAATGTCTCGAAGAAGAGCTCAGCTGAGCGAAGAGATGGCAAGAACGTCGTTTACACCGTCAAACATGCTTATTTTGATTTTAGAAATACGAAAACCTCCGTGTTTTCAGTGTGGCATCTCCCTCCCGAGCCAAGAGTGACAAGCGGCCTGTGGAGTCGCGTCATTCTCCAGGGAGACTGATGTCTGTCTCAGCTGTCCCGGAAGTTGTTTGCATACTTGTTTCACATCGTGTTGAGTCGTTTCTGGTCTCATTATCCACAGCGACGCTTCGCGCATCAGTCACCCCAAATGTTTATGACTGTCGGGCTCTTGCGACACATAAAGGGATAAATTTTGCGTGGCAGCTTCCCCGTCCCATGGTACGTTATCACGTATGGTTGTGTTAGTTGCCAAACGTGATATGCAACGTGATATTTCTCTGCCTCAAACGAATGCTTTCTATCGAAATTATGAAAACATTATAAACTGGATGATTTCTTTTGAATAAGGGAGGGACAATGGGTTGCAAGACTATTTAGCGGCACTTATCTAAAGTATTAAACGTTATGTTTCTTGTCAAAGTGCTCACGGGATGTAACACAACATGACAAGCCCCAACACGTGTCATGACAATAATCTTCGACGGCTCTTCCCCGGCCACGTGCTCTTTGCTTCAGCACCGCGTTTGTTCTGATTCTTCTATTGATCGATGAAGGACGCATTCTTCAACACATCTGATGAGACAACACACTCCACTTCAACACATCTGATAAGACAACACACTCCACTTCAACACATCTGATAAGACAACACATTCCACTTCGACGCATCTCATATAACAACACACTCCTCTTCAACACATATGATAAGAAACCGCACTCCCCTAGAGGACAACACATAGAAACAGCACAGGGATCAAATCGTAACAAAAACATCTGGGAAATCGTTTCCAAAGATACAGCACGGGATCTCATGGCGTTCCCCTCCGTGTGCCAGCAGACATCTAACGCGGCGAATTAATGGTAATAGAATATTTCTTTAACATAATTTTTGTATTAAGCTGTTTTATATGTCATTTCTCCCGCTCCCATGGGCCCGAGCTACTTGACCGTTCTTCAGTTTGGCAATATTGTTCGCCAGATACGTTGCGCCAAATTTTGGTTTCACCCAACAGGACACCAATCCAGACCTCTGACGTTCCATTCCAAATTGCTGTTGTTTTTAAGGAAACGCAACGCACGTCTGAAATCCTTTTTCAACGTTAATGGTATTCTTATCCAATTTTCCATCTTTGGTTAGCCAGATTTGCGTGGCTGCCTTGCAGCTTGACGATATTCACCAGATAGTGTGGAAAATTTTCGATCCAGGCATTGGGATTGGAACACATATTGCTGGACACACCGGTTCGATATGCTAGCATTTACACCACATAGCCCAACGAACTGCCTCGCATTTTCTGACATTTGCAGCCTGCCATACGAGCTTACAGGCCGCCGCCGGATATGGTATCCAGTTCTGCTGCCATATTTTGTTCAGGCCACGGCGATACCTCGGAAGTCCACTGCAATGCCGAATATTTTTATCACACGCTGTGTTGTAATGTATCCAAACGCCAGGGCCAGATCCAATGAGCTGTATGAGATCGGAACATTGCCAGCAGTGTGTAATTCGTATGTTCAGTTTGACAACAACAAGAACTTACAATAACGATAACGATAGTCTTGGTACCGTTTTGATAGACGGTGACATGGACGATAAATCTCCGGGTAAAAAAATTAGGCGCGTGGACTGAGCACGCAATGCTGCTTTTAAGTGCCTGGTCGCGGTTCAAAACGCTAAGGGGGACAAAGAAAGAGTGTTCATGCTCTTCCTTCGCAGTCCTTCGCAAACAGTGCTGGAAGGCAACGGTGCTGAAACAGTAGATAAACAGATGCTGCTCTTCACCATCGGGAACTTTTCTTGATAATATTTGCCATCAGCTGACACCGACTCAAACAACGCGCGGGTCACATGGTAGGGGGAGGAAAATGGCCGGAAGCATGGAAATTTTGCGGAATTGGCTTACGCCGATGGTGCGAGATGTCGCATGGGCAGAAACGCCTTAAAAATTAGACGTTCTCTCCGAATTACCTTTGGCCCTTGGTGGTGTCACCATAGCAACGTGGTGTTACCATAACAACACCATACCAGCATAACAACGGCACATAACAAATAGCCGCAATTGACCGAAGGCCAGGCATGATGGCATTGATGAACCAGCGGAATAGGCAGGTAACATGGTCAATGAGCAACAACCCATGAGTAACAACTTCAATGATGCCAGCCCATGAGTAACAACTTCAAAAATATCGGGTGGTGGGCGATGGCTATTGGGCGATACTGCTACCAAATGCAGCCGGTGTTTGCATTGGTACCAGTTCAATTTGCCGATACACCAATGCAGCATAGGCACAGGTGCCTAAATGCCTGAAACACATGATGCCTAAACACAACTGATCGTATCTCGGCAATGAATGCACGTATACTGGCTATCGCATGACCAAGGACGAAAAACTGCCTCTAAATATCAGCTCGGGGTAATCAGCTTGACCATAACCCTCCCCATCCGCAAGCTACACAGCCTACCTCACGAAGTTCACGGCCGGGGTACGCGAAGCGCACCTCACCGGCACCAGCCGACACCCACTCGTCACCACCGCACCACAGCGTCACCACCGCACCAGCACCAGCAGCACCACTGACCGGGCCGGCGGGCATCGGCAGCACGTCCGGGTTTTGGCGCGCTATTTTTGGCGCCAATGCCCGGGCGGCTGGTACAAGGTATCCGAGCAGGTGGCTGTGACTGTACAGCCGAGAGAGAGCGGTCTCTTATGATGCCAATGCACTCACTGCTTACAATTCCGTGCTGGTATGAAGCCATGAGAACGCAGATGCCTAGCCGAGGGGTCCGAAAACGCCGTGGCTTCCCCCTGAGCAAAGAGGTTAACACTAAATAAGGCGCGATTTCGCCGAACTTTGGTCCAGATTCGCAGGATTTGGGAAGACCATTTGATACTAGCTCCCCCTGTAGAAATCTTCGCTACGTTCCTGTGAGCACGTGGTGCGACGCGTGCAGCGTGCACGTGCGTGTGTCGTTTGTATGCTTAGGGGCATGCGAGTTTTCCTGTTGTGCGAGCCGATAGCACGTTCGTGATCTGGCTGCGTGTCTGGCCTGCACAAATTCTACCGAAACTGAGGCGCTGTGCAACGCCTCTGGCTGCCTTCGCCAGCAGCGCACGTCCATTCATGAGCCATGCATAGCGATTGTCCTGCTTAGGGGGTGTCCCCAATAATCACAGTGGTTTTCCTCCCGCTGCGTTACACTTTTGAACTCAAATGGTTTCTGATGTTCTTCGAATTATCTCCAATCATTCTTAACTCTTATGTCCTCAAATCTATTTTCTAGTCTTTTGTCTCACTGTTCATTGAATTTCGCATGCGCCGTGTACGAGCAGTAATTGCTATGGAACCTCGCCAACAGGGACAATTTTCCCTGTTTGTGCCTGCAAATTTGGACTATCTTTAGCAGAGATCTGTTCGCCGTGACATCGTACGTGCGGCATGGCAGTTTGTAACTTTCCGGATCACGCGCCGTTTTTACAAACATTGCACACGCGACGACGCAAACAAAAACGCACCATCCGTCCCACCTTTCAGATTCACGTCCAGCTGTCAGGCACAGAAGGGCACTTCCCACATACCGGCGGCTAGCTTCACATGTCTGCAACTTCAATGATCAGCTGTGGTCATGCCGGCGAACCACCTCCGCCCCAAAGCTCTCCAAGCTCAGAGGCGCCGTCACTCGTATCGTATCGACATCGACACTGACATCGACACCGACACTGACATCAACACCGACACCAGTACCGACCTCGACACGACACCGACACCGACACTAGTACGGACATTGATACTGACACCTACACCGATACTAGCACCGACATCGACACTGACACCGACACCAGCACCGACAACGACATTGACATCGACACCGACACAGTGCGACGGACGGCGGCCACGTGACGACGTGCAAAGTGACGTCAGCACGGGGGAGAGAGGGAGACCGAACACAGCTGACAGCGGCCGGTCGCCTTGGCACGCTGCCAGGGCAGGCTAAACTCCGATCGACACGCTGTCTGGGTCAATTAAGCACGCACACATGGATAAACACACACACACACACACACGCACGCGCTCGCAAGCGCGTGTGCTCGCGCACACACGAACGTGGCACTAGCTGGAGGACAATTGATGCGCATTTGGCTGCGAGATAATACGCTCAGCTTATATGGGTGTGTGTGGTGCAGACGTACATTCTCAAAATGAGCTGGGGAGGGGGCTGAACAGTGGAAATGACCCAGTCTAGCTTCAAAATATGCCAGCAAACGGGTTTCTCCGCTGATTTGGTCTTACTTTTTACTTTCTTCCCAAAGTTGGATATGCTGAAGCGGTGAAGCAGGTAGCTCAATCCATGTGGTGGGATGCCTATTTTCTTGGTTTTCAGAGCTCGTTCCACAGCATTTACTTTGTACGGTTCACAGTCGCACTAAGAAGTCGGTTCACAGCTGACTTCAAATATCCAGAATTGATTTTAATGAAGCGATAATTTCAGGCAACAACGTTTCAGATTTGCATCTTCATAAATGTAACAGAATACGTTAACGCGCGAGATAATTGGTAATATATGCCTGACCGACCCTAGAAAAACTGCAGCCAGAAAAGGAACATGAAACCCCAAATACATACCGTGTTTTTTGTATTTTTCTCTACAGCCTGGTGGTCCTAAATTTTACGTGGCCCATCCAATAATTGCATTCGTTTAGATTTGGTCGGCTGACCGCACGTGAAGGCTGCTGACCTTCGCATGACCTCTGCGTTAAATGGGTTAAGTTTTCGTTACCCCAGGCTGTTGTGACATTTTATTGCAGATAAACGCATGCGCAACAAGTCAAAATTGTACTCACAACAATGCCATATTCTCTTCTCGCTCCGAGGAACTTGGTTTAGCGACCAGCAGCTCCAGTCTGTTGCCGGAGGTCTCGATCAGTTCGATGACCTTGAGCTCAGGAAGGTCATCGGACTTCAGGCCGTCGATTTCCAGGATCATGTCACCCAGATCGAGATGCTGCTTTCCCAGTGTGCCAGGTATGACCTGAGAACAAACAAGCAGAAAAGGTCATTCAAAAGGTCATATATGATGAAGGTGAACAGTGTTGAGTTGGCAGGTACTGCCGCGACCACGGTCTCCTCCTGCGTGCTCATCGTCGTTAAATTGTCAGTCGACCTGATCAGTTGTTAGTGTTTCAACCTGATAGTGTTTCGACCTGATCAGTTGTTAGTGTTTCGGGCGCTAGCGTCGCTTACCGCTAGAGGACATCAGTGGTGATGACAGATTATGTAGGAAGAGCTGTTTCGCATCGTCGGACAAATAATGACATTAATCCCATGGCGCTGCAAAATTAATTCAAGGTCAAATCATCTTTTCTATATCCCAGCTTTGATAACATTCACTGTCACTGTGCCATATGGAAACAGAATTTGCATCAACAAAGAAATTTAACAACTGTACATAAAATCATCAGCTAGATGTCGCTCTCATTGTACCACTGGATTATCTATCAGTAATTCCGGGATGCTGGGCATTGCTGGCAGTCGCTAACAATAGCCATGGCCACAAAACAGCAAGCATATATATCTCACCCTTTTCAATTGTTTTCCGTGTAAATACAAATAAATTGTGCTGTATTTAGCCCCGCCCGAAGGATTCCATGTCGGAGCTAGAAGCTGCCAGCTGCTGGCCAGACTGGGCTCTTGGCAGGGCTAGCCGGAGGTTTTGTGATCGACCACGAGGCCCGTGCCAAGTGCACCGCCACTGGGAGGACTATTCAAAGGGCTCTAACATGTTCGCGATCACTGGTCTGAAGTGAACGCGACCGACGTCTGTGAAAAACAGCAACAATGCTAACATTATCCACGCCTTTCCTCGCGGCCAACGAAGTGCCGCAACGACGATTGGCTTTAAAGGGAGTGCTCCGCTTTTGCATGTTTTCTAGCTGAAATAACCATCTTGAAGATCATTCGGTGCAGTTCACAGCCATGCACTTCTTAAGACATAAGCCCCTCTAGTTTCTGAGCTACCCGCCCTTGAAGATGTGCGGACTGTATCGTACGGACTATTTCAAGGTCACTCAGGCCTTCATGACGCTATTATAGCAACCTTGAAACCACCCAAGTCCCATAGGCCATGCAGCGAGCAAGGCTAATCACTGATGTAATTGTCAAGTCACTGATGTCTGGCGTTCGTGATCATGATTTCCAGATTTCCAGACAACGGCTGTCAATTGGCTCTTACCCAATGCTGCACAAGGTACGATGACGCAATCAGATAATGACGTATTGGGGAGTATATTTGCTAAATAGAGAGATCGTGTTGTCTAGAGCAGTCTTTTCCACTTCAAAGTATCCCAATGGCTATAAGTGAGCTTATTTCATCGTATCTGATGTTGGCTTCAACGCCTTCAAATGTGGAATATTCCTTTAACGTTTGCTGGAAAAGCTCCCCAGTCTGGTCTCTACAAAGCTGCCAAAATAACCTGAAACGGGATATAGACAAGCCATACTTCTACAACTTGGATCATAAATAACTACAAAACAATGAATAACATGCAATCGCTTTCGATGCAAAGCATATCTAAGGTCATCAAAACTGTGTGATATTGTTGAAACAGCGTGGGATACCACACTAAAACAATTGGCTATTACATAAACTGATCGCTTGATTAATTGGATATAATAACTGCCGGCAAGAAGACCCCGGCTATCACAATACCACTGCCGCTTGTCATTAATAACAAAACGTTAGAAAAGCGGGAAAGTCATTAGTCCATACCAGCAACGCGCACCCTTTCATTATTGATAGAGCCATCCTTGTAGAATCCATCGATAAGCACGCAACCGCGGAGGTCTCACTTTGCGGCGCAGCGTGGTACCTGCGCGCCGCATGAGAGGAACACTCATGTCGAAGGAAGTCTGGTGGCAGTGGCAGGACAGGACCCAGACGAGGTGCTAGTGTCACGATGGAATAATTGTTCGGACTATGGTCCACGTCTAGTGTGATGGTATGCGCAGGACGCTTCAGTTAGTTGACTCTCCGACCGTCGTCAGGTGTTATTCGTTTTCAGCCATGTCCGCGTCACGACCCAAATTCTCTCCATGCAATCACTGAAATTCGAGCTAGGGTCTCCCAATCGCGAGTCCAGTATCCTATTAACTGAACTAGCCTTATCGGTTACCTCAGCTGGCAGAGGACTGTTTTAGAGTTAGCTCTGGGCGAACTATGTCGAACCACGTCTTGATCGGGGGTCCGCTTCGGGACCCGTGTGCCATGCTCTCAGATGACGGCCGACGGTGAGTCACGGAGGCATCGCCCGTCCCCGTCCCCCAATGACTTGATTCAGAGAGTGGGAGCCAACCAAAGCAGTACAATAACAACGTTTGAGTCATACGTTATATATCTCGGGGTCCAATGTAGTGAAACTATTCGTCAGCGGGACTCAAATAAATTGGTAAACAAAGATGCTTTTTCGTGTACCCTTCGCCGCTGTGAACTGCGTTCAAAAACCGAGCACGCCGAACATTTTAGAAGCCCAGGTATTCAGCAGTTCTTTTGATGCGCTAAGTGCTTTAACCTTTCCGCTGGTTCTGTGTGTGTCAGAAGTGAAAGTCATACAAGGTGTCATGTTTCGAGGGGTCTGTAATTTTGCGTGAGTAATTTCCTATTTTTGCGTACGTTATTTCAGCAGCCTGGAAGCAGCCTGTCTAACAAGGGCGGATGCAAGAGCCAAGTGTCGTGCAACACAGATCCTCGTTTCCTGCATCCACCTAAAATAATTGCTCAAATAAAATGATAACTTTGGTCCACTTCATAAGCAAATGATTGATTGTCACCCGGAAGTTAATTTCATGATGTTGTTTCTTTACGGATCACGTGCATTATCTAAGCTTGTAAAAGAATCTTAGAAAAAAATTAAATGATCCCTTTCACAAATGGCCTGTCTTTGAGCGTGCATCCCATGGGTACTCCCATCTCGTCCCACCGCTCCCGTTCAACACCCCCTAAAACGCTCCCCTGGATGCGCGCCTGCCCGCACCCACTTCCGGGTGGCGGGATCGCCGGTCTCCGCACGCGGCACGCCGTCGGTGATAGCGCTGTTGTGCTCCGCCGGCAGATCGGATCTCGTAGCCGGCTGTTTTGGTTGGCCATGGGCGGCCTCTCTGGAACCTGAGGCACCCGCTGTGATTCACGGGGAGGAGGGGGGGGGGGGAGAAGGGGGGCTTCAGAGGCCGGCAGTCACGCGATTGGGGAGGAATGGGGAAGCGGAGTAGGCAGCTGACTGTGAAGGAGATCAAAATGGGAACGCTTTTACTACAGTCGTGCCATGGTGTTCTAACTTAGCTATTTACGCGAAATTCATGCGGGCGGAACTTTCATCAAGGGAAGGAAAGGAGGAAGAATGCCGATTTTTTCTCCGAATTTCTGCGACTTCGGACCGAATTCATGCGAGGTCACACAATATCTAGTGTGCATTCTCCCCACACAGTCTCTAATGCAATCAACTTGGTTCGGAAGGGGTATGGGCTTCTCTAGCACTCCCACTAGCTTCGTCACTGCTACGCCATGAAAACACTTAAGCTATTTTCTTAAAGGGTCACCGCCACCAAGTTACCTGAGTGCTGACGAGGAGGTAGAGGTATTAGTGACAAGAGTCCAACCGAAATCTGACCGGTATCCACTGGCCTCATCAGCTGCTAGCTGCTAGCTGCCAGCTGCCAGCTGCCAGCTGCCAGCTGCCATCAGCTGACAGCCTTGCGTAGCCGTGGGACGAGCGTCTTGTTTCCGCAGCGTCCGTGATGCCGACCAGTAGTGAGAATCATCTGATGGTTCATAATGAACTTTTGCCTTTTGACTATTTGAAAATAAGAAAATCTGCCACGAGTGGAGGCGATTCAATCACTAGAACAATGGCTAGATTTATCATGAATCCCTCGAAAAAAGGCAGCGGCGCTACGTTGAGCCTTTGCTCTTCAAGTTGACTGTAACATACAAAGGGACGCAAACAAAACAAAGATAGCTGGATATAAGCAGCAGCATACGCAGTTCAGTCCACTTTACCCTTCCTGAGGTCTCAGTCTACTCCTGGTATGATGAAGATACCTGACATCAAAAGTCTTAACTGCTAACAAAAACCATATACAGATGGAAAACGTCACACACAAAAATCCACCAACAGCTCAGATCCTGGACTAACCACACAAAATGCTCATTCGCCGCATATTAAATATTAACAGCCACGGCCGTATAAAGGAACAACCAATCCAATCCTTAACAAAGATTCACAGCGAGCGCTGAGATAAGATCGCAGAACAGAAAAAAAACTAGCACGTGATTTGTATCGTACCACTGACTTCCAGAGCCAGTGCAATTAGCGTAACAGCAATAACAGCACATCCTGTTACTGGGCGGCGTGATCGGGTCAGAAAACTTCTCCGTCCCAACCAACATGGTTAATCTGGCTTCCCGGGAGGGCTGGGGTGAACCACATCTCTCAGGACACAAAAGGCCCAGGAAAGCTCCATTGTCTCGGGGGAAACTTATCGTGCTAATCGCGACCTAAAATATGGGACCATTTGACCCAGCAGGGTGGACGAGAACACGGCGCGAAGGCGATAAGAAGACGACAAAAAATACCGTGAGCGTGGATTTGTAAGGCGGACGCTCACAAGACGGTGCGCTGTGACGATTTCACTAGCAAAAAGTGTCAAAGCTTCAGCCAGAGTTAGCCACAATTCAAGAGACCAAGTAGTTGAGCGATGATTGACAGAAAATGGTCAAATGTGACAGAAAGTGGCAAAGAAGGGCTTCGAAGTGCATGTGGAGCAATTTTTCCTTGGCAAAGGCAGCATCATTCCTAGCAGGGGCATGGAGCCAGCTTTTCCGTCAGCTGTTTTCATCTACCTTTTCTTCGTAGTGATACGTCATTTGGTGTTACTGACGCCTGCGTGTGTACCCACATGGACCATGGCGTGGATTACAGATCACAGATGACAATAACTCGCGAGATGACACAATAAAGCACACATAAGTTGTTGGAC